TGTACAGAGCCATTGAAAAGTAGAATTGAAGACAATTCTAACAGGTTGGAGAGGGCAGTAAGGAATGAGGTCAGAGAGCAGGAAGTGAAAAGAGAAGCCAATTATCCATTTGCATGAGGGAGCAAAGGATGCAAGAAGGAAAAACATTACAGGAAAAAAAAGCCAAAACTTTTCTTTTTAGCTCTTCTTATGCAATCAGGAAGCTTCACATGGGCTATTGTTCCAAGGATTTACTCATGACTTTTTAAAAATATTTCTATAGCCCTAGCAGGTTTGGCTCAGTGATTAGGGCTTTGGCCCAAAGACTGAAGGGTCCTGGGTTTGATTTGGTCAAGGGAACATATATACCTTAGTTGCAAGCTCGATCCCCAACCCTGGTCCAGGCTTGTGTGGGAGGCAACCAATCGATGTGTCTCTTTCACATCAGTGTTTCTCTCTATCTCTCTCCCTCCCTTCCACTCTCTCTAAAAATCAATGGAAAAATATCCAGTGAGGATTAACAAAAAATAAAAATAATAAATAATAAAAATATTTCTATAGTCTATTTTTATGTTTTATACCAGTGGCCTGGTGCACAGATTTGTGCACATTGAAAGGAAAGTAATTAGAAGAAATATTTTAATATCGCTACTTGCCCTTTATAATAGAAGTGTCAGAGATCAAAGAAAATTAGTAAAATGTATATGAAAATAATATATAAATTGATTAATAAATGAACAATAACAACATGATATAACAACAAAGACATGATATAAAAACAACATTGATAAAAACAATGAATGATAAATTGATTAAACTCATTCTAATATCTCCCTGTACACCACATTAAGAGTAAAAACACTTTCAGAGCGCTTGACTAATTTCCCTGGTGATGAAGTATTTGCAACTTTAACTTTAACGTCATACACTCCTCAAACTCGAGAGAAAGCAACATGTAACTGACCATGCCCGAAAATGGGTTCAAGTAAGAATATTCCTACTCTGTCTAGAGTTTGGCCTTGTGATTTATTAATAGTCATCGCAAATGCTGGCAAAACAGGAAACTGTCTTTGAATTAATTTAAATGGGAGACCAGTGTCAGACGGGGACAAATATCATGCATGCATGAGTCAACGTTTATTTTTAAATTGCCAGTGCACATCATATGTACTGGCTCGTCAGTCAGTACATAGCCTTTTATAGACAGAGGGTCAGTCACTTAGCCTTTTATATATATAGATACTCTATATTCCTATAAATAAAAATAGTTTTATGTTTCTTATATGTTAATAAGAAATTTTAAATTATGAGAAAAATATTATAATAAAGCCCTCTTTTCTTCTCCTCAAACAACTGGGATTTTTTTTAAAGAATAATGGAAAATTTTACTGAAAAATACAACACAATTTAGCATATATCTCCCAACATAAATGCAGGGTACCCCCAAAAAATGTATACACACTTTAATAGCTGACAGCTCAATTTTGAAAATGATATGTATTTTAATGAACACTGCCTTTATAATTAATCAATGTGTGTGTATACTTTTTTGGGACACCCTGTATGTGTGGAAAGCTAAAATAAGGTGTAAGGGGGACTGAATGTAGCACCAGGATGCAGCAGAGTTCTTTGCAAGATTGACTTCATACAGCACATACTGTTGCCAAAGCAAAAGGCATTATGACATATTTCAGACACAGGAAAAGGTATGGAATAGCTAAGTATCTGTGCATGCACCCAGCACCCATGACATATACTAAAATAGAGTTTAAAGGGCTCAGCGGGGTCTGTGCCTTCGAAGTGCTGCCGGGCTGTTAAAATTTATCAGACAAAGCACAGCGCAGGGCTCAACACCATAAATGCTCACCTTCGGTTTCCGTCTTTGCAAACTGTGTGAACAAGCTCTCTGGCAGCAGGGTTTCCTGACAGAAAGATGTGTTTCCGGGCAAGTTTGGGGATGGTGAAATTGTGACAAGTGAATAAAACAATTAGCGCTGTTGTCCTTTCCGAATGAAGTCGTGTGTTCTTACGGGAGACTTATTTTCCCCTTTTGTAAATAAAGATTTCATCCAGAAAATGCTTTGGAAAGCTCCCAGGGATGATACCATTATTCAAACACTGCACTAAAGATTCTGAGGGTGGAAAATGAATGATAATTAGCTCTGTTGACTGTGGAGGTTTTTGTAATCTCTCTTTTTGTTCAAGCAGGGGGGAATAGGGCCATGTGAACCTATAGAGAAATTAGCCAAACGTGTAAAATCAACTATATCTTCTTTCTATGGGCTCTTCTCTCGATTTCTCTGGAACTCTGGGTTAACAAGTTAAATAAAAAGAACATAAAGGAACATAATAATCATAGTTATTTTTATTGACCAGCTTTCAGGTGAGAGTCATCAAACTAAGTAACAGGTATTCATTTGTTTAATCTTTACAATGACTCAGACAACGGGTACATTTCCTATACTTTTTCCAGCTAAGGAAATCAATCGCTAGAAAGGTTGAGTAATGTATCCAGTGGGGGAATGGTAGCACAGGGGTTCAAATCCGTGTACCACTCAGAGTAGATTGTCAAAGACTGGGGATCCCAGACATGTAGGGAGCAGTTGGCTAAGGTAGTGGTCTGCAAACTGCGGCCCCTTGAGTGTGGCTCTTCCACAAAATACTACGCATAGGCACGCACGTACAGTGCGATTGAAACTTCGTGGCCACACTCAAGAGGCCAAAGAGCCGCATGTGGCTCGCAAGCTGCAGTTTGCCAACCACTGGGAGGGATGGCTCATTTAGTCCAATCTCTTCCTTTGACATATGAGCAAACTAAGGTTAGCGTGGGAAGGCGCTTCTGCACGGTTGCAGAGCAGAGGCTAGAATCCAGGATTCCCAAATCTCCATTCAGCCCCGTGCATATCCTCTTTCTCACATGTCCAAAATGGAAAGGCCCTTCTTTGTCTCTAAAACAGTGGTTCTCAACCTTCCTAAGGCCACAACCCTTTAATACAGTTCCTCATGTTGTGGTGACCCCCAACCATAAAATTATTTTCGTTGCTACTTCGTCACTGTAATTTTGCTACTGTTATGAATCATAATGTAAATATCTGAGATGCAAGATGTATTTTCATGGTTACAAATTAAACATAATTAAAGCATAGTCATTAATCAGAAAAACAATATGTAATTATATATGTGTTTTCCGATGGTCTTAGGCGACCCCTGTGAAAGGGTTGTTCGACCCCCAAAGGGGTCGAGACCCGCAGGTTGAGAACCGCTGCTCTAAAACCTGTTTGTCCAACCATCTTCCAGATCACACGGCAGCATCACAGTCAGCACTAGCGTTCTCAAGGCTGGCTACACTGTTGGGTCATCTAGGAAGAGTAAAAGAATACCCAAGCCAGAGTGTCACTCGAGAGAGTGATACATGGTGTTCTGGAGGGGACCAGGAGTCCACACCACCAGCGCACGTGAACATACCATACGGTTCTCCAAATGTCCATGTACACAGCTACCCTCTTCATTTCCAACTTCTGGACCTCAGATCTGAATCTTTCTCAAAAATAGCACCACAGGGGGTTGTTCCAGCCAGAAACCCAGCCTTCATCCTTCATTCCTCCCTTTTCCGTCCATCTACATTCATTCCAGGAGCTTATGTCTTGTGTTGGGTAAATGTTTTATAAGCGAGGAAATGCAGACATTTAGTGTGAGGTTCATTTGGAAGGGGAAATGTTTAAAAATTATATTCTAGTACATTGTGGGCACATGCCCTTTTAGGACTGCTTCTTCTGTCATTCCTACATGCCTTCGAGGCCCACAGCCCCGCTCTGCAAGGGTTGAACTTCAGGCTCCCTGAAGAGAGTGACACTCTGACACCATGAACAGGTGTGCACCACTTCGGAGCGCTCACATTTCTCAGCGTTATTCTTTCCACCCATCTCTCCCTCCCGTTTCAGCTCTGGCCTATATATACACACACACACAGGTAATTTGCATGGCCCTGGAGATAATGCTCAGCTCTGGAAAGAGCTGATGGAGAAAGGTTCTTTAAAGCAATAATATCCAGCACGTTTTAGTCAAGCAAGCAATAAATGGCTGCCAGGCTTGATTATCAGGCCAGTCAAGCAGAGGCTTCTAATCAGTCTCAAGTGCTGTATCTGGAAGGTACTGCTTCCCGTCCACAGCCTCAACTCCCTTTGAATGTGTGAACAGACCGCGCAGACCCTAGGCTGGGACCAGCACATCAAGAAGAGCCGATGGCAGCTAACCATTTAAAAGTCAGAAAGCCATCAAGGAGATTTCTTCTGGGTGAAGATCATTTGGTCACATGGCAGGTCAAAGTTTGGGCTTTGTAATTTTGTGTAAGACATAAAAATATACTCGAGATTTTATTTTGTCAATAAAAGCAAATATGAAAATTGTAAGTTTTCTAGGAGCCACATTCAAAATTTTGAGAACATGCGAGATTCGTTTTAATAATGTTTTATTTGTCCTCGTGCGTTTAAATGAGTGAGTTGTGTGGTGTATGAATCAGATCTCAATCAAGCTGTTAAAAACTACGGGAAACAAATGAGCCATGTTTGCAGATGTTTAGCTCTTTGGAGCCAGTTTCCTGAGCATAAGAAGTTGAGAGCCTGTTCTGAACTTTGTCCCTTTGAATTCAAGCTGTCAGCATTTTCTCCAATGTGATTCCCTTTAAAATTCTGTGGGTTTTCTAGGAATCTGATGAGCAGTTCACTCTGTATCCCAAAGCCACATCCATAGTTATTTCTGAGTTGAACCTGCATCTAATTCTGGCTGCCTATGAGGATACAAAGGATCAGTAGAAGCCCTTTGGTCTACATGAGAGGGTCTACTAGGCACCACCTTCAATACTTCTAAGGCCTTAACAAAGATCTCACAATGATTTTTATTATATTCACAAATTTGAAACCATCACCACAATCAATTTTAGAACATTCTCAACACATCAAGAAAAAAATATATGATTGCTGCCTCTCCCATCCCCTGCCCATCCCCCATCCTTCCCAGCCCTACGTATTTCTTAAGCATCACTTGTTTTCTAGCAACACAGACCTTAGGTAAAGTTCAACATTGTCAGCCCTTCCTTTTGTTCAATATTAATGAATACAGTAGGTTCCCAAACTACTAAGAGACGAGTATAAAACTCCTGAGCGAGATGAAGCAGGATCTGATTAATAGTCTTTCTGGGACTCTTGTTGATGTTGTTTCTGTAAAATAAGTTAAGTCATATGTTGAAAGGGAACAGTACAGCTCAGTTGTGTTAGAATTTTGAAGTCTGGGCATCTTGCATAGGATTCCTGGAATGAAAAAGAGAAATATTAATATAAAAGTTTGGGTCACACCCTATGGAGCACAAGTCTAGTAGATTCCAAAAGGTTCATGGAAGCAAACCTTTGATAAAGCAGCACTGCTGATAAGAGAGATGAAGACCACCCGCGTAAGCATGAGCAACGACTATTTATTCAGAGCCTGATGTATAGCCAGGGAGTCAGTCACCACCACTTACATCTGGCAGAGTCGAGCAAACAGAGCTGGGCGTTGTGGTCACAAAGGAAGTAGTACTCAGCAGGCACACGCAGAGATCTGGAGGAACGGGAGGTAATCATGACATGAGGTCAGAACCAAGGCCTTGCATCAGTTTGGCTACATATTTGGATCTCTATTAGTCTCTTCCACATGACAAATATTTGGCCCATTGTCCTAAAATGATTGTGAAAATATAACTTAGAATTACATAGGGTATGATCAGTAGATTGTAATAATTGGAGAGATGGATACTGGTCAAGTAATTTACCGGTTGATTTGTTTAATATCATCTTTCCATGTCGGTGCAAGTAGAAATGCCATCAGCTATATCTCCTTGTGGCTTCATTAGAAGAGATTAGAATTGCCCAGGGGTTTTATAATGGAGTCCAGGGATGCCTGGCATATCCAGCAGTCAGTTAGACTGAGGGCAGTGGCTACTATTAGAGATAATTTAAGAATGGCATTAAAATAAATATATTCTGACTAACAATTATTTAAGGAGGGGGGAATAAGATAAAAATTATTACTGTATGTGGATAACAACCAAGGGTCTATAGAAAATAAGAAGAAGAGAAAGAGGTCCTACTCTAACATCTTGGGCAGAAGCTGCCCACTGTCTAAAGCAGTGGTTCTCAACCTTGGCTGCACGTTATAATCACCTGGGAATCTTTTTTAAATCATGGTTTCTAGCCCTGACCGGTTTGGCTCAGTGGATA